CGTTCTGTATTCACCTCTTCCCATATGTCCTTTGATGTGAACATTAGGCGTTGGCATCGCTAGATTTGCAATGTATGGTATATATTTATGATAAATCCATATAGACTATAAGAAGCAATTAGGAAAACTTATTAAAACCGCATGCCATAAACAGTGCGGGCTCAGAAAACAAGTTTGGCCTCTTTGGTTGCCATTTGGCCACTTTTCAAACCGTATTTGGCTACAAACGAGCGCTGGAGCCTAACAACCCTGGATTTTAGGTATTCCGTAATAATAATTTAAAAAATGTGCGTTAATAATGTCATAGAGTATCGAACGGTAATGAAAAGGTTTAATCACATGTTGCTAGTGTAGACGTGGTCGTGCACAAAATATTACACGTTGAATGTAACTACGTAAATTTTAAAAGAATTTCCCCAGTTCTTTTAATAGTATTTTAGTTCAATGACTCTCTCCCATGGTTGCATGTAAAAAGCAAAATTTTTACCTCCCTACAATATAGTTATCAGCTATTTTATTTTTCATCTTATCGCTTCCAAGTATTGGAGGTGGTGGAAAGAGAATTCCTCTTACAAATTCCACTCGTGAAACAAAGAGGGCTAAAGTGATGTTCCAAGCCAGAAAATCTTGGAACCATGATTTCTGCTTGTTATCAGACCCAAATTGTTATGTTACTTCATCTGTTCAGAAGCTGGCAAAACTCAAAGAAGCAGGATTAGGTAGGAAGCGCATTGTTTTCCCTGATAAGAAAGCAGTATTTCTAAAAATGAAGCAAATCCTTCAAACAGAATACCCAAAGCTCAACACTCAAGATGGTGCATTTGAATTTTTGCGAGCAGAAAGTGGGGGTAACCACAGACCATTGATTCTGATCCCGATACCCTCTGCAGGCTACAGCATCTCATATATTAAAGAAATGGTTGGCCCAGGAACTTTGATCTATATAAGACCAATGAAAACTGCCATATCATTAGAAAAACAAGCCAACACCAGCACATCTGATTCACCAACCACTGAATGTATTAAATGTAACAATATTATACCCATTTCGAATCTTTGTCAGCATAGCTTAGTATACACCACTTTTAATGGTGCTGCAAATGTTAGCTGTGCTGATGATGGTTCATCCATGGCTAGTACCTCTGGTGGGGCAACAAGCAATGATATTTGCTCTAAGGAAGTGGTAACATTGTCTGATGATGATGCTGGTCCCTCAAAAGTAACCTGGTCAACACAACTAAAACAGATATTCCCTGAAGCCAAGCAAGAGGATTTAGAGGATGCTGCTCTACTCTCATCATCAATGGATGAAGCAGCTAGTCTTATCATGGAGAAAACAATTACAGAAAAAGAAAAAAGTGTTTTTGAGTCAGTTGAAAATGTTATTGATGTCCTCATTAAAAAGAATTCCTCCGAAAATTACTAGGAGGAGTATCTTACCATTGATAGAAATTCCATCTGGATGGATGCCATAAGATTTTACAAGAAAACTCTTTCAAAACCATCCCTTCTAAAAAACGATTTAAAAACATATATTAACTTGCTCCGTGGTCGTGAAGATGTACAAAATTACCTATAATTGGAGATCTTGCTTATCTCCTTACAAAATTTTGTTTGATAGAGTACCAAACATGTTCAAACAATGGCCAAATAATGTTCAACAACTTACTTCAATCAGCCAGAAACCAAGTCGAGCGTGCGCATGGACATCGCTAATGGTATGTGTGTGTGTGGGGGGGGGGTATAACATCCCCCCCAAAAGCAAATTAAAACAAAAAACAGGTAAAAATAAGATAAAAATTAGGTTAAAATCAGGTGCTAAAGTATCGCAATACTGACATAAACATAATCTTTATCATCAACTTAGATAATTAAATATTAGAAAAATATGCAGTACGATAACGAGCACGAATTTTCCTTGCTTTCCTCCAATTCATTTTTTCTTACGATGTAAGTTTATAGAGTGATCAGTGATCCCAAAAGTCAAAAAAAGTAATACGTTTTATTATACGTAACATTAAGCTGCTGTGCATGCGTTTGTTGCCATTCTTAAATTACTGGCATGTATCTGGTATGACAAAGCAATTATTTGATGCTAGTTAAAAATCATCATGCAAGATTAATCTTTAATAATAAAATACGCAAAGAAACAATAGAGTACAACACTGACTGTGATATGTTATACTTTGCTCTATGCTTACTCAGTATAAATACATAAACAGTTAATACTTTGTAGAAAGTAGACACAAAGTAAACAAAACATTCAATCATTTCTACGTTTTGACGACTACACCTAAGTCATCTTTAGTGATGAAAATAAATATCTCTTTCCACAATGTTTTTTTATGGGAGTATCTATAACTGTTAGACGTCATTCTTCTATTTTCCGTGAATGCACGGCTAGCCCCATTAATTTCCCGACATAGTGGCTAGCTAAGGTTTTGAAGTCATCAATTGTTTGCAAAATTTGGCGAAATGCATATCAGGAGAACAGTAAAATTTCAGGTAAATTTGGAAATATCTTCCGGCAAATAATTGTTACACCTCTCCCCCAATTTAAGGTCTTTGCGACGTCCCTGAATGTGCGTTTGGGCGACTAAAATATCGATGGGTGTTTCTTAGGGATCAAATTTAATTCAATCTCAATAATTGTTTGCGGTTGTTTCGTTTTGAACAATTATTGTGAACAGAATAAGGGTAATGGTTTGGATGCAGAAGTATTAAATGCCAAAATGCAATAGCACCTATTAGTTGTCCTGCTTAAACGGGTCAATTCGCTTAGCCGAGACGAGATAAAAATTGCAATTACATGAAAGGTTTTGACCCGCACGGGAGAGCAATTTTTGGAATGAATAAATTAGTTGGGTAGCTTTTTTGTTTATGAATTGTAAAGATAAATGGATGCATGTCTGTTTCGTCGACTTTGCTGGACAAATGTATCATTTTGATACTTGTGAACTAACAGTCGATATAATGCTTCACAGCAATTGTTTATCCGCTTTAAACTTAGGAGTTAAACTCGATAAAAGTTTTGTATTTTAATAACGCACCCAGAAAATCTTTTATTATTTTGCTATCTCAATTAAACTTCTGGGTGACAATTTTCCCTTTGAATTTTGGGAACTTGTAGCTGCTGTTTGAACAAACAAACAAGTATACATGGCTCTAACGTCTATCTCTATTTAAACCATTGAACTAAAATCCATCTGGAACGATAACTCCTATAGTTTTGTCTCGTGAATCGTTGGAGCCAAAATACATCTAAAATTTATCAACTCCCCCAACCGAATCTGCCACACGTTTTTTGCATACCAAGTTCGAAAGGCTTGTGACCTAGGTGCCATTTACACGAGCCCGGGTTGACTGTTGACCCGGGCTAGCTCATCAACCCGGGTCAACCCATCTACTAATAAATCATTACTAGCATTTACACGACCGCCGGGTTAGCACGCCAACCCGGGGCACCCTTTGGAAGACCAGGGTTGACCCGGGTTGGCAAAGTATTGAAGCGTGAAAAATTTGTGAAATACTCGTGTAAAGTAGGGTTGAAATTGACCCGGGCTCGTATAAACTGACGATATATCTGAATTTGTCACGTGTCCAATGTTATATTTCTTTAACGCGCGAAGCTGGCATATAAACGACTACACGTGTTACATTCAAATTTGTTTACAAGCTTTGGCGAAACGAACGTATTTTATGATCGTAATAAATGATTACGTAAAATATGGCAGGAAAGTCGAAAGTAAACTTTCAGTGGTCATCAGAGATGGTCGAGCAGTTGATCATTATTATAAAAGATTATAAAACGCAAATGGATTATAAAAATATTGATTTCAATGCTGATGTTGTGGCGTTGTATTCGAATGTTCGCGAACAAATGGCCTCAGTATTTGACCAAGAATTTTTTGGGCCAATAGATGTGCCTGATGCACCAAAAGAAAAAATGACCAATGAAAAAGAAAAAGCGTTCAAGTATCAATGGCCAAGTCGCAAATAAAGAAAGGTTACAACAGAATTAAAGAAAAAATCCGTGCTATTAGGAAGGCTTACAATAAAGCTGTTATCAATGGCACTAGATCTGGTTCTGGAAAAGTTGTCCAAGAACACTATGATCAATTGGCTGAAATTTGGAAAGGAAGTCCGGCTACCGAAAAACTTCGTTTTGGCATAAGTTCCAACAGCTGTGAAAGTCTTGGACCAGAAACATCATCCTCTGGATCATTAGGAAATGACAGTTTCAATGATGAATTGAATGCCACGCTCGATACGGATCATGATGAAGAGGAAGATGAAGACAATGATAATGAGCAAGAACAAGGTAGCAACTTATTTATCTTTGTATCAATTATGTAAATATTCTGCAACACATGCATTATTTTATATAGATGTAAATAATTCCAAAAAGAGACCATTGTGCACCAGAAAAATTATTGACAACAAGAGAAAACATCTGGAAAAACCCCTTTCAGCTGCCAAAAGAGATGAAGTTCTACTGCGGGCAGCAAGGGAGGATATAGAACTAAAAAAAAAAGCAGATGGAACATATGCAGGAAAGTCAGAAGGCTTTAGTAGACATGGCCAAATCTATGTCAGCATCCCTTGACAGCTTGGGGAAAAGTGTCAGTGATGGTCTTGGTATGTTGGCTATGGCTCTTAATACACACACACACACACCTCCACCTATGCCGGGATTCTATCAGCCACCTCATGGTATTGGATCAACTATTGCTCAACCTCATGGTCTATATCCCAATCATACCACAGGTTTTCCTCATAGAGGTTACTGTGACACAAATGATGTTCAAAGTTATGGCTCATTTATTGAACATGAAAGGTGTGGCTCAAGTGACTCAAATGGCTCCACAAATTTTGGAAAAAATTAAGAAACAATTATAATTGTAAAGAACAATGACATGACTGTTATTTACACACTTTATTTTCTTTTTATATTGTTTCCACTTAACTTTAAATTACTAGTCGGTTACCTCTTTTGATCCCTAATTACACATATGTTCTTTAAAATAGTTTGTTATGGTTGTGCGTATTGCAGAACCTATTGCTGTATTGTATGTTAGTGACCTATCAGGAGTGGCATGGTGCAAACAACATTGGTCAACAACATTCAACTGTATTTGATGTTCAACTCCTTCACCAATTATCTTAGCTCCTTTTACTTCACAAAAATTGTGCAATACAAAACAAGCATGAATTAAAGATGGTACATCACTTAACTTTACATTTATTGGTCGATTTAGAATTTGCCATCTTGCTTTTAGCCGACCAAATGCACACTCAATTTGATTGCGTCCACCTCTCAATATTTGGTTGAATATAGCTTTTTCATTGAAGACATCTTCAGCATATTCCTTCATTACATTGGGCAAAAGGGGGTATGCAGGGTCCCCAAGGACAAGTGGAGGGATTCGATCTGTGCCAGGAAGAACTGCACGGTACACCATAGGTAGGGTCTTCTCAACAAACATCTTGTTTAAGTTAGAGTTTGCAAGCACTCGAGCATCATGAACACTTCCTGGCCAGTTAATATCCACATCAAGAAATAAACCTCTGTAGTCACAAAGGGCTTGGATATTGAGACTATATTTCATCTTGTAACAAAAATAGTCTTGACTATTTTCTGTTGGTTGTCGTAAAGGAATATGGGTGCCATCTAAACAGCCAAATGCTTGGGAAGCCCAAAACGTGTTTCAAACTTTGAGATGAGTGTTTTCATTTCATCAACTGTTGATGGTAATCTCAGATACTTCAGGGCAACTACTTTGTTTATATAGAAACAAACTGCTTTCACAGTTCTTGACAAGCAAGGCAGTGACACACCAAAATTGTTGCAGGTCATTCGGTACAATCCTTGATCTTTCAGGTAATACAATGTCATGGCAACCTTTTTCGACACAAATAACATCTGCACGAAAATTTCCTTGTTTTACCTCTAGATAGGGCCTTAACATCTCAACTAGTTCCATAAACTGCTCTCTGTTCATTCGTAAATTCAAATTCCATTCGTCTTCTATTAGTCGTCCACTCCACAAATTTTCCCACCAGCGATCTGTTCTGCCAGGATTAACCCATCTACGACGTCTTCTCCGAATAGTTCTTTTCTTTAAGTGCTTTAACAGGCGTACACTTTTCATCGTATCAAATAAAATCATGTTTTGAGAAGCAGCTATTTGCTGCTGCTGAAGAATAATGAATAATAACATGACCCCATACATTCTTACTATAGCTGACAGCAGAAGTAAAACAACAAAGGTGGATATTATTATTTTTTTCCGTCGCTCATTTGGATCCATGCTGTGATTGTTTCCTCCTTGATCAATCTCGCTTCGCGCCAAATAAATATGAATAAAATAAGCATAAATTACAGCATCAACCCGGGTTGGCAAAAGCTGACCCGGGTTGGCTAAAATTGTCCTCAACCCGAGTCCATGTAAACGCACTCGTAAAATCATTCCCTCTTGCGCATTGACCCGGGTTGCTTGTCAACCCGGGCTCGTGTAAATGGCGCCCTAGGCGGTTTTATATTGTCGTTTTTTTGCCGTATTTTATGAATTGAAAGTATGATTTACTTTGCTAAGCTTATCTTAAATGAAGATAGTCTTGCGGAAAAGCTAGATCGGCAAGCGAAGAAGATGAAGCGAGAAGCAATTTTACAAAAACAAACAGACGGGAATTGTCTTGAATAAATTTAATAATGTTTGAAAAATGAAAATATACGGTATTTTACTGTGTTCGTTCTACAAAACGGCTATGAAACAATGTGAGTACTATTATATTTGATTTATAAAATCTGAGTTGACGATATAGTTTAAATTCATTGATTTCTGAACAAAATTAGTTTAGTCAACCGATGTCTCTCGCTTGGCTTTCCTCCTTGAATAACAGATTTACTATGTCGCTTCCCGTATGTAAAAAGCGAAGGGTAAAGTATCTGTCTTCCGTTTGTTTCATTAATTGAACTCTGTGGTCATCATTTATATCATTCATTCCTTTGTTTGATTGGAAAAAATGGTTGATCGGGATGATTTATCTTCGAAGAAGTGATTCCTGACTTCCAAAATCATTTTGCTTTGAAATTGATCGCCAGAAGTGATTTGTCGTCCATCCTTACCCACACAAGCTTTGAACACAATCTCAGCGTACATGAGTATGGAAAAAACCGATGTAGATGGAGTCGTTAATCTAACCTTATTGATAAACTGCGTGTAGGCGGATGCACGTTGGCAATCAAATCTTGAACCTTCATAATCATGATCAGTCACCTGATGACTTAAAAGAGAACGTTAGATCAGGTAATTTTTACAAGCTATACAGGTAACTGATTTTATTAGCTTCGTCACAACAAAACCACCAATGTAGAACAGAACGTTTTCAACAAATTTAGAATGCTCCTTTTCTTCTAACTGTTGAGCTGACAGTTGTTCAGATGGGGTGAAACCATGATTTGCAATTAATGTGTTTTCTTCAAGCAATGGTGCAGTGTATTTTTGTCAATGAAAATTAGAATAATGCCTACAGAAGCATCAGAAAATTCAATGCAGTGGAGTTGACGCTGCCCAGTGACGTTTGCGGACCATTCATCGCGTTGCTAAGTTGGTCATATTTTCATTTTACGGAGTTGTCTGACTAGGTATCTCTAGAAATATTTCTTAACAAATATTTTTGATAGTTTTTTAGCCATTGCGGCTGCCGCTTGGAAACAGCATTTCTATTTTGCCCAAAATGTGGACGAAGGATCAATGCAGAATTTTCTAGCACGGCGCAAGTAGCGCTACTGTGGACACAATGGACCCTGCCGCCAGTACTTCATCTCCTACCACATCTACCTCTACCAGCAAGCCTCTAATATTCAATTTTGAAACGTTCAAGAAGGTTAAAGATCAGAACGATGGTCGCGTTTTGAGCCCAAAGCAAAGCGAAAGAAGAATGAGACAGAAAGAAAGGGAGATGTCTGGGATTAATGGAGTTAAAGAGCGGAGAATATAGACGTGTATTTGGTAAAACGTTTCCGGTTAAACTTACCAAGGATGTGGAGTATGAAGAAGCTCTTTAGCGGTCAAAAAAAAAGAAGAAAAATGAATGTATCTATTGTTAGCATGTTGACAAGAGATGATGATGAGATTGATAGTACTGGATGAGACGATGGTTTTCAAAGTGTTGATGACATAAATGATATTGAAAATGCTGTTAGAGCTGAGAAAGTCACAAATGAACAGCTTCATTTGGCAAACAATGATTTTGTTCCATTTGTGGTTACAGATTTTCTGTAACTCCATTAAGTATTTGTTATGTTTACTACTTATGTATTTTGAATGTTTTATTGCCGAACGAATATGTTCAGAGATTAACCTTTAATAGACAAAAATATATATTCTACTTATTAGACCTGTTGGAATGGATGAAAATTATGCAGTCAGAAGGGCATTTGAAAATAGCTTGCACAAAATTCAACATGTTGAGGAAGATACGATGGAAAGAAATGATTGTCCAACAAACGTTCTTACACAGCATTGGATAAATTTGATTAAAGAATCTACTGACAAGAGTGTTACCGGCGATCAACGCAGCATTGTGGTTAGCCAACTTATTATCTGATCGACTGCACAATCATATTTTAGGAAGAGCGGATTCTTGAAGAAACTTGGCTTATTGAATGTGACGTTTGCATCATTTGAGAATGTGGAGGATACCGCTGATCTGGGTGGACCCAGAAGAATTTTTTTATCTTCTTTTAGGTGGTATTGCACAAGACAGTGGAGCTCTAATGAGCTAAAGATGCTTATTTATTATTTAAAATGATAGTTTACGCAAAATGTATAGATGATTTCGAGGAACATGATCTTAAAATATATAGATTACTGTGTGTGGCCATATTCTACGTTGCAATGTTGGTGCATCTCTTTATATTTAGACATTACATGCAAACAAACCAGCTAGTATTGTTAAACAAGATTTTGCGCCCTTGGTCATCATACAAAAGCCTCTCAATAAATTGTAATGTCAAAGCTTATTGGGTTTTTAAAGGCTGCAGAAGGCAAGTTGTAAAAATGTCCAAACCAATATCCCTAGGTGCTAATTTAGTAGCTATACTTTGGAATGCTAAGTGTAGATTTAAAATTTTGATCAGATGTTTCTGGGTTTTTCTTAGAAAATACGTTAACAGAAAACCTTGGAGATGATGGGATTCAGTTAACCCAGCTGGAACAAGACTTATATAAGACACATTTACCCTTGTCACGTACTGTTGTATACAACGGGAGCTACCAACCTGCCAACAATTGGATTCCACCCAATGCCAACAATAACCTTTGTGCATGGTGAAACCAAAACGATCCCTTCAGCAAAGACATGTTCTAATACATTGTTCTTGTATGCCAAGATGAAAACGGTGGAAAAAAGCATTTTGCTGACAGCTCTGATGAATGGTGGAATTTTTAGTAAATTATAAGATCAAGGTAGCAAGAAGACGGCACTTCTAGTGTCTAAGATGTATTTGTTTTGTTATATTTAGACAAATTTGATTAAGACCAGCTTTAAGTAAGACCCTATGTTAATAAAGTAAATGGTTTGAACCCGGGGTATCGTTACATGTTTGAAGATGTAGATCGTCCAGGTTGGTATAGTCTTGAGAAGGACTGTTTTTGTTGTTGTTAACTGACGTTTCGACAACCTTAGCGGTAGTCATCTTCAGAGTCAAATGAGGAGTAAACGTCAGGTTAGCCGTATTTGTTTATCTGGTTCATACGTCATTGTATTGTGTGTACAGGAAATGTGTGGGTGTCAATTGTGTATTGTCATTGTGAATTAGTGTGAAGTGTAATGTTTTAAGTTCATCGTTTGTTTGTATTGTGAATAAGTCGTTTGTAAGGTGCCGGTAATTGCTGTGATCTGTTCAGAGGGGTTTGTTCCAAGTTGGTATACAAACTTTCTAATGTAAGCTATAGTAAGTACTGTAAGTAATGCATTTTGCCGAGTCACAGTCAATGTTTTGCTTTGTGATTCGGTGATGTTCGGCAATGTGATTAGTTTTGTCTTGTAGATCTTTTCTTTGTAGGTCGTTTGTGTTCAGTAAGTCTTACGTTGAAGTTCCTGCTAGTTTCCCCGATATAGGAGGCGTGGCAGTCGGAGCAGTTTATTTTGTAAACTGTACCTTGTCGTTCGTTGGGTTGTTATTTGTGCTTTAGTACTTGTTGTAACGTTGTGATTGGTTTATGTGCGACACGTATGTTGTATGGTCGTAAGATACGCGAGATAGTCTCAGACGTACCTTTGATGTAAGGTATCGTTGCTGTTGTCACTGAGTTGTTCGTTTCGTTGGGTTCGTTGGGTTTGTAAGTGTTGCGTTTGATAAAATCAAAGTTATAGTTGTTTTTGCCAAAAACACGTTTGAGATAGTTCTTTTCGTTATGTAGACCGTCCGGTGAATCCCATTTGATTTGTACACGTCTTGTTAATGTTCTGATTGTAATGGCTTAGAGGTAGTGCACGTTTGCATGTCATGAGGGCCCGTTCCTCTAAATTTACAATTTCAGCAACTACAACAGAAACGGGTGAGCCCAAATCACTGTTCACCAGTATTCCACTTAATCTA